GTGTGAATAATAGAATGAGCATGGTATGCAATGTAGTTAGAAAACATCTTTTGCTGATCGTATGATTGGAAACTAATGTATGTTTATGTGACGTTTTCGCTTCATGGGGCTGGTTTCGGGGGGGGGGGGTGAGGAAAGCTAAGGGGGGTTAGGGGGTATGGAGCATGTGGCTAATAATGCCATCCCTTGGAAAACTTGATAAATACACAAATGCATCTGATTCTATGTTCATACTGATATCAGTTTTTATGAGACTTTTCACCAATATGTATACATGTATTAATTAAGGTACTAATTAATATACACATGCAAATTGTATGATTAAACATCAATTCATAACATCACACTTCTCATAACAACATTTTTAAGCACAATGGGCATATTCTCTGCAAAATATGTCAATAAATATCTCCCCTATTATGGTTGCTAGGGAGAAAAGTCCATAGCAACCAATTCTTAACTTTTTCTTTGTTTTCTGCCGTATGCTCAAGTTTTAAACGTGGGAACATGTCATTTTTGTTTCGGATACACATTTCCAAGAAATCTGGCACATTTGTAGGTATTTCCCAGTCGGAGACCAAGGAATTCAAAAACTAAGCAAGAAAACAGGCCTCGGCCCATGGTCTAATACTGGCCATTATGGCATTGTGTTCGAAATCACAACTGGGTATCAACAGCTATGGAGTAATTCCTGTAGAATCTATTCAAGAAAACACTGACAACCATCAATACTCTTGTTGTAGAGGTCTAGCTTATATCCCAAGACAAGACAAAAACCCATGGAAAACTCTATTCACCACTTGTCTTTATAAACATAGACATGCTATATCAAGACCCATCTCAAAATCAAAGTATGCCAAAAAGTATCCCTCTGCATACAGCTTGTATTAATTACTCACACACAGCTTTACAAAAAGTTATTATCCTCTTTCGAGGTATTTATTAGCAATGACATATATACATACAATACAAAAGCAATCACCATTGATAAGATTTTTTGAACTTCACCTTTTCTTCCAAATCTAGAATTACTTACACTTTCCAAATTTGATTTCACCATAAACTTAAAATCAACCCATGCATAATTTGCGTTGTATTTTTTTACCTTGAAATGAATATTTTATATAATTTCGAGAGATTGTTTATTGTGCTACGTTCAAATAAGATTCAATATATCGTAAGTTTCATCGTCCACTATATAGCCCATCACTAGAAGTTCTTCATTTATACATATATTTATCTTGAATAGGTGATATAAATGCCTTTGAAGGATTTTCCAAAATGTTCGTATAAGTTTACAGTGTAATAAAAATGAAAAGTGGTTTCAACTTTCTCACAATGGATACATTTGCTGTCATTAAGAGCACATCATTTCAGTTAGATATCGGAATAGCACGCTACACACAATCCCGTATACCGACGCCAATCACCCACCGCAAATACTGTACGACTATTGACAGTACAACACTGCTGAAATCGTGGCGAGAGACCCACCGCACCGAACCACAAAATCAATCTTTTTGCAAATATCCGTCTCTCTTTAAAATAAAACCTACATGCACAGTATAATTGATATTCAACCCACAAGACCTAAAATTCTGGTCCTGGCAAGGTCGCCATAAATTGTCACGGAAAAACGACAATCAAGCATATTAGTTTTAGGTCTCGGCTCAAAGAGAGTTTATTCACCTTTTGTATGGTGTATCTCAATCTCTAATACCAAAAGAAAATCTCACTCTCGTCAGGATAACATAATTCTTAATTCTCATATGATAATGATGACAATGATGATACTGATTCGAAAGAAAGAAGACATGACATTATGATAAAGACTGAAGAGTTGACACATATATTTTACCTTGAATATTCAGATGATAACGTCGTTTTAACTTTGGCCTTAAATGAGTAGAGGTAGCAACATGATTTAATAGATTATGGGAGAGAGTTCCATAGGGCTGGACCATGGTGTCTGATGAATCTATGGGCAATAAGTAATTTCGGGTTGACCAAATGAAAATTTGAGGAATTACGGGTAGGGTGAGAGTTTCTAGTGTACAAGTTTTTAAATGAAAGAGGGAGCATATTATTCAAATATTTGATCAGTAAACTTTGTAGCAAATTTATGTCGAATACTGTTAGTGTTTTCAGTTTGTAAAATATTGGACTTGTGTGAGATAAATATGGTGAACCAGTACATATACGTAGGGCTTTCTTTCGTAATAAATAAATATAGTTGATTTTGGTTTTGGCGCTGGTGGCCCATACTAAATTGCAACATGTAACATACGGTAATATCAATGAATTATAAACCATAACAAGCGTATTACATGGGATTAATTTCTTCATTTTATATAATAAACCAAAATTCCTAGAAATAGAAATAGTTGTATGACGTAAATGTTCATTCCAATTTAGATTTTCATCGATAATGACATCCACAAATTTGGTTGTTCTCTTTTCTTCGAGAGGGAATTTTTTATAATATTTGAATACCTGACTTTAGTTCCAAGTTTAATCCTCATGGTTTTATGCATTTATTGTACATTGATTTCCATTTCCATTGATACTCCCCTTGTTTTACCCTTCTATATTTAATCTGTCTAATCTGTCCTTTCATTTCCTTGTGGGTTTTTTTTTCATTTCCCTGTTGATTTAGCCTCTAACCACGGCAGCTCTGCTGCTCTGTCGATCCCAAGGTCCTCGAAACGCGCGGAATAGTCCTCTGATCGTGGGAGGGTTTATACACGGCTACAACCTGATTGACCATTGGTATGAGACCAATATTCGAGGATTTGGAGCAGCAAACCCGCCATGATTTAAGGACTGATGTTGATGTCATTACCCAATGTTATTTTTATTGGTATATTATTGTATTCAGTCAATCAATTTGTAATCTAAAGTATTTTTAATGGACGTTAATTTTTTACTCTTGGATTGTAAATTCAATTTATTTTAGCCTCACGGCTTCTACTTTGAGTTTTCTTTAAACAAATAATAAACCACGTAAAATAACTGTATTTGAATTTGCATTTATGTTCTTTTTGTTCAAATACTTCCTCTTCATGACACATCAACGATCAAATAGTGAGCTTATTTGATAAGTTTCCTCTGTTTGAAAGCCGTAGTATATGTGCTGAAAATGTTTTTGATCTTGTGCATAATACTAATCATATATCTATGCAAAGCATTGTCACCTAGACATCACTCTCCTTGCAGCCTGGTTCGAGAACAGTTTGGTCGTATTTGCAGAACTGTGCTTGCGGTTTAGTTTACTATATTTTATCTGCCATATAAAGTCACGATGGATAGCTGCGTGGATGCTTAGTTTCCATCATTGAAAATCTGCAATTCCTTCACTGAGTAAAGGTAAGAATTCACAACATAGAAGGTATTTTGGGAAATTTTAAGCCACCTTCTAAATCAGCACCACAATGCTAATCTCATGCATATGGAGACTTTTGGTTCATCCCTGTGTTTGTAGTTGTGGTCGGACGCAACTACAACTACAGTGAAAACTCTTTGCCTCCTTATTCTGATTCTGCGACATTTAAACATCCGAGGATGCGATAAATGAGAGAAGATTCTCCACAAACAACTATAGCTTCTCAGTTTTATACAGAAACCACTATATAGCATGCCTATCTAGTACACTCTGGTTTTGTTGAATTTGAACTCAACATAGTCACAAGGTCCAGAACATTTTACTGAATAACCAACCTCTTTGCCTCCTTGTGGGAAATCTTCACTCATTTATCGCATCCCCCGATGTTTTAATGTCGAAGAATCAGAATAAGGAGCCAAAGGGGTTGTTTATTTATTTGGATTTATTAGTTTGTGATATTAAAATACGTAACATTGTTTATTTGATGTTTAAGAAGACCCATGTACGTATAGTGATGAGTTTTCATTAAGATTGTGTGTGTGCCACACCTTTCAGTATATTAATTTGTGTACAATTGTTACCATCCAGTACATAGTTAGAAAGTACTTCTTAGCTCAGTCAGGTTTATTTACATTATTGCAAATGCAAGTGAAATAATGTGATGTTTACTTTGGTAATCTGTTTTATGTTGAATTGTTAGAATACAAACAAAGAGAAAGTGTGTTGAAATTGCGCATTTTCTTCGCAAGGAGACTGAGGCCTCTTGCTAGAACATCAACCATCCTGTTTATAATTTCGCGAAGGGAGCGAGTATTTTTTCTCTCTTTTTCTATGGTAATGGTAAAATGCTATTTCTTCATCCAGATAAACTAGACAGGATGCAGCCATTTCGCTACCCGAATAAAACGATATTCAGGCAATTATCCCATTTCAAAGTATAAAGATACTTCGGATTGTATGTCACTAAGCGGCGAAAGTTTGGCGATAGCGGGATAAGCGGCGATTCGTCACACATACTGACGAGTTTTGGGCGACCATATACTATCCGCAAAGTATTTGAAGTCAGTTGATTAATACTTAGTGCCACGTTTAGTAGAGGTATTTTGAAGAACATCAGGCGAAAAACTGAAGCAAAGTTTTAACAAAATATTAATTGGACGATTAGCAGACGAATTGCGAGACCCTACGGCGACATTTCGGCGGATGTGGCAAATGTACATCGATACTTACACTGTGTGGAGAAAACATGACAAAAAACTGAAGAATTGAATTGTTAACAGTCTGTGAATATTCCAGGAATAGCATCCTCGTGAGATCACACCCTTTCATTGGAGCCTATCCTATTGTCTAATACCTTTTGGCAAACTTTATTATCCAGCCTGCAGAAGTTACTCTCAGCGCGCTCTGCCTCTCTTATCATACTCTTAATTTCTACGTACTAACCACATTTTCATAGACACTGTCCTTCATTCATGCGGTCCACACCCACTCACCCCCTTTGGGAGTATAATCTGGTCCATGTAGTTCATAACCTTCCTCTTCCTCCTCGGAGGAATCAAAGCATTGACAAAGGCAGTTCCCTGTAACATTAGTAAAGATGGATTTCCAGAATTAAGAGATGGGTTACACAATTCTTCAACTAATCCGTAACTATTCTGATATCATTCTTCAACCATTCGGTGTATTCGCTAACTATTCTGCTATCATTCTTCAACCATTCGGTGTATTCGCTAACTATTGTGCTATCATTCTTCCACCATTCGGTGTATTCGCTTACTATTCTGCTATCTTTCTTCAACCATTCGGTGTATTCGCTAACTATTCTGCTATCTCTCTTCCATCATTCGGTGTATTCGCTAACTATTCTGCTATCATTCTTCAACCATTCGGTGTATTCGCTAACTATTGTGCTATCATTCTTCCACCATTCGGTGTATTCGCTAACTATTCTGCTATCTTTCTTCAACCATTCGGTGTATTCGCTAACTATTCTGCTATCTCTCTTCCATCATTCGGTGTATTTGCTAACTATTCTGCAATCATTCTTCCACCATTCGGTGTATTCGCTAACTATTGTGCTATCATTCTTCAACCATTCGGTGTATTTGCTAACTATTCTGCAATCATTCTTCCACCATTCGGTGTATTCGCTAACTATTGTGCTATCATTCTTCAACCATTCGGTGTATTCGCTAACTATTCTGCTATCATTCTTCAACCATTTGGTGTATTCGCTAACTATTCTGCTATCTTTCTTCAACCATTCGGTGTATTCGCTAACTATTCTGCTATCATTCTTCAACCATTCAGTGTAATCGCTGACTATTATGTAATTATTATTCCACTCTTCATCACGTTCTGGGTGGAGGGGGGGTGGTAAATAATTGAATAGGAGTTTTCGATTAAAAATAATGTTTGACAGTGGTGTACAATTGCTTTTGGAGGAAAGTCATATTCGCCAAAGATTGTTGAACATTTTTAATATATTCAGAGTTTTCTCAGAAAATGGGCGAACGTTTGGTGTCATGGCGAACACTGTATTTACAGAATTTCTAGGGAATTATTGACAACTCTGGCGGATGTCAGGTAATACCTGTTCACCGCTTTTCCTCGCAACCCAGGCGACCAGGCGACATACCTGCCACTTTACATATTTCACTGCCCCAAAACAGATAATTACTTTGAATTTACTTCGTATTGCTGCACATATTATCTGTTAACTTGATAATATGCAAACATATTAATCGAAACAAAATGAAATATCGTTATTGTTTATCCGCTATTATATTCCACGTACTGAGAATCTTGCTCTACGATTGGTCAAAAGTAGATCACGTGATGAAAGATAGTTCGCCCATCATTGCTGGGAGAAGCAAAAAGTTCGTTACACTTGGTAGATAGGCTACTATCTACACAGTACAACGCACTTTAATTGTATACGCTACGTAATTGCTCTCCTCTTTAAGCGCTTTTAGTGTTAGTACGCGAACTTTGGTCACGCGCGAACTATATGGTCACACCACCATACTGCATGCACTGTACGTATCGTACACCGTTTGCTAGCTGTTAATTGATGACGTGTTGCTCTAAAATGACGGAAGAAGTGAAATGTTTCCGATGTGGAATAAAAAGCAAATAATCACCTTTTGGTTTCAGGCGAGGGCAAACTATCACTTCCTCGGCGATCTGAATGTATACGCTATCTTTCCGAAGCGAAGCTTCCAGATCGCCTCGGAAGTAATAGTTTGTCCCATCACCTTCACCAACGGTAGTTATTTGCTTACTGTCCATTTGTTGTGTAATAATGATAGTAATCACAATATGGATAGTTAAATTTAGATATGATTATAATCATTGTGACTATTAACTTTGTTATTATCTACAAAATTAAATTAATAGTGCTCAGTAATTGAAAAGCTGATAAAGAATATTTGGTCATCAATGCGCGACATTACACATTTTCAAAAATAAGTTGTGGGTGATGGGCTTCTAAGATACGGATGTAACATGCTTTAAAAGAAAAGAACAAAACAATGGTAATCAAAATTATTTTTCTTACGGAATTGTAATCTAACCGGGAAACATCGAGGGAAACACCCACACTTTATGTATTATTCTGGTTGAGTCACAAATTTAATTTGGAAAACATGTTCCTATCCTTAAAAGGAACTAACTAGGTGAAAATGAGCGATGTTTTTCAGTTGCCCTATTCCTCTTCTACAAATGTGCTTGAACAGCAATAGATGTTTGCATTGGTTTCACAGTTCGTTCCCACGAACGAGGTCAAACGCGGTTAATATAAGGGGAACTATGAAACGTCAAGGGTGATTGATCTTGATACATATCGAATAGAGAAAACGATTCAAAATGCGATGTTCACAAAGGTGTTTTTCTACGAGCATCTGTATTGACATTGAGTCTGTGATTGTTTCTATGATTTTTATAAACACCAGTGCGTCGTGCATTTGTGTGTTGGAGGAGATGTGGGTTGGCCTTTTTGATATAAGGAAAGGATTAAAAAAGCTAAGTAGGTGAAACCTTCAAGTGTGTGGCGGCAAAAGGGTCTGCGTGCGTCTGCGTTTGTTTTTGTGCGTGTGTTTGTGTGTGTTTCCTGCATTGAAAGCATTGCTATTTAATCGAAATGTTCTCAATCGTCTCCATCTAAATTTCCCATCAGTATAAAGTGTAGGTGTAGGAGTATCACCAGACATGCATATATGGCAATACATCCTTAGAAATGCAGGGTAAAATACAATTTGATAAAAAGTAGCACAATGTCCTCAGAATAACTCATTGAGTTAGAAGATGACCACAGGATAAATATATACTTTCTATAGACTTAGACTGTTATAAAAGAGAATGACAGGAGTTGACAAATATAAACGAAATCAGCAATGAAGTTTTAAAGACTTTTTAGTCAGTCCGCATTCATCTTGTTTGAACTTTCTCCACTGATTTTAAGTAGAGCGCGTAACTTCAACATCTTAATTTTTCAAGAATTATTATCATTCTGTAACGAAATGATTCATCGAAATGAATCAATTCCTTAAGTCAAAGTAAGAAACTGCTTTTGAAATGACAAGATTTTGGTTGGTTACAGAATTGTGACAATTCCCCACAGATCGAAGAAGCTGACATTTGGTGCTTCAACAGTTCATTAATTTACCCAGTTAGTTCCAGTGGCCATAGCTTAGCCTAAACCTGCATTAAAGCTACATGTTTATCCGCCATTTGAAAATACATTTACTTAGTATTAAAACATTGATGCTCTTCGCCTCAACCCGATCAAATGTAGATCAAATTGCTCATTGTCTGAGCTATTACACCAATGGATGATAAGATAGCTTGCCTAATTTAATATTATGCGATTGTGTTAGACTCTCTTCTACATAGGCTAATGTGTAAACTGTATACATGCAAGTTTATTACAATACAGGAATGTTGCTTTGTTAGAATAGTAGGAAATTAACCCCTATATATGGTATTAAATTACCAATTTCGAAACAAGGCCTTCATTTCTAGCATAGTGCAAACATTACCGAATGATAGGTAAATATTTTGAAATTATTTATGCAACTGTGCGTCACGATATTTTTGTTATTACATACATTTGGCATTCATTGTAAATGTGCTCTGGTCGATCTGCATAGCTGATCAGTTTTGAGCAGAAAAGAATGGGTTTCTCAAAGTCCCACCGATTGAGGAGAGAAGCTAATGATGTTAATCCATATACTTTTTTCAATATTGAAAGCGAATGAGAAATGAAGTCGGCAGCAAAGGAGATGTGTTTTGGTCGGACCAGGATTCGAAACATTCATATGTACATTTTAAGTTAAATGAAATGAATAATAATAATTGGGTTCCTGTTCCTGTTTATCCATGGTAGCGATATCAGTATAACAAAATGGTTTCATGAGGGCCCTGCAATGACTGTATTTAAAAAGGGACGAATGTGGGCAGAACACCGTGTCGAAGAATGTAAGCACCGAGCGAGGATCGAACACAGAAACTTTTGAATGAGAATCAAGAACCTTCAGTAATATACCACAGTTCTCACATTAAAAATATCTAAATTGAACAACAAATGCAATTATCACTGTTTGATTAGACTGTCTGGTTCATTGCATTGTTATTGTAACTTCCTGTACTCAAAATTTGCTCGATTCCATAAACCACACGTGACTTCCAATTTGCTTAGATAAATATTATTATCGACCAGGTTAAATGCTTGTTTATCCAAAACATTTGTTTCTGCAATCATCCATTAAAATCGAAAAAAGTTTCACCTATAATATGCACCCTGCTATTTGTAACAAAGAGAGAGCTACAAAAAGACCCGAGGTGCCATAGTATGTGTTTGTCATGGTATGAAGTGTTAACGAAATTTACATTTCAATAATACCATCCATCCGTCCAAAATATTATCGGTGGCAGCAAAACAAATATGACTGTAACAAAAAGTTAGAGAAGAGAGGATGGGAACTCTTTTCATTCTCCTACTAACCCCTTTCAACATAGGCTTATACAATTAAAAATGAGGTAGGACATGTGAAATACTCCAAGCAGGGGCATCCATTAAGCACATTGCAGAAAAAAGGGAAGAAAGCAAAACAAAGCACGTATCATGTAGTGAATAATGAGTTAAGGCTACATCACACTATCTACGTTCTAATGTGCTCTTCGATGCAATGGGTAGAACATCTTCTTTCTCTGTTGCTACGCTTCCTCGCAGAATATACATTACATTTTACCTTTACTCGAGATTTTGGAAGAATGCTGCGTCTCGGCAGTCAGGCTTCCAGTTAAATTTCGTGTTTCTTCCTTAGTTCTTTTTTAGTTGGGTGTCTTCATCTTAATAAGTTGTCTGGCTCAGTTCAGTGTCGGGTATTCTACTCATATGGGGAGCAGAAACGCTTGTCTGTCCGTGATCGATCCAGTCTGACTTTAAAGGCATGCACCGAGGTAGCAGTGACTACCTCTACAGGAAGTGTGTTCCAGTCATTGATGACTCGTTGGCTGAATAAATCTTGCCCAATTTTCGTTAAGCATCTTAGTTTAGAGATCTTTAGACTGTGGCCTCTTGTGTTGCTAGTCGAGTGTTCGAAGAAAGTATCAATTGGGATGCGTTAACGTACATGGATGATTTTGAAAGCGGATGTCATAAATCATAGAGAAGCTGTGTAAACCTTATAAATAACATAATCTAAGAAGAGTTGTTCCATCCATGAACTTAGAAGGGGAACATGAAAATGATTCAGTGCTGCTAACCCTCATAATAGAGAAGAGAATAGGTAAATATAAAGCTCAGAATTCGGTTTGCCTGTGTTATGGAATATTTTATTACTTGCAAAGTCTGAAATTACTGAGACTTCACGAAATATACGTAGAATTTATCGAAAGGCGACGCAATTCAACATTACAGTGGTACGCGAGTCATTATGCACTGGGTCATTGTCCCACTATCGCGTGATAGATAAATATACAGGGATGGCGGGGCGGGGGGGAGGTTGAAGTGTTGAGTGTGAAAAATCAGGTTAAAAACCCATCTTTGTTTTTGTCCGTTAAAGTGTCACACAACGATTCAGTAAAGCACTGGAGAGCCCCTCGAATTATAGCCTGTAATGTTCACATTATGTGAGAGAAAAACGGTTTAAAAAAGGGGGAAAATCCACCCTGATTCGACTGGTTTCGTTAAAAATAGAACGTGAGAGAAAAAGATCGCAACAGGTTTGAGCAGAATCCGATCAAAAAAAATATCACTAATTTGCTTCTTTCCATGGTGAGGTCCTCTTCCATCCTACGTACTAAACATTTTGTTGACATGTACATCATATGTGTTCCTCTTTTCATATGTATAATTATTATATGTAGGGTGCATGTATAATTGAAACCCTTTTTATAATTAAGTGAATGTTTATCAAGTTGTTGGAACAATTATCAAATTGGGGGGATACGTCACAAAGTTGCCAATTTGTCTTTGATCGATCCCGTGATCAAAAATACATAACTTAAACAAATACTTCTCACGCTGCACCAGAAACGTGTTACATGTCTTTGCTTGTTCTATGTCAACACATTGACAGGACTCCACTATACGTTCGAGATACTTCTTCCACCCTGAGGTTGGGCAATATTTTCCAACACTTTGCCAATAGTTAACCCAACCATCTATTGGGCAATAATTTCGTATTTTGCCCAACAGTTGGTCAAGATATTCCAAACAAGTGGGCTACCGTAGTCGGGCAGTTGAAGGGTCATATCCTTGCCCAAATGTTGGTCAAAATACGAATCAATTATGCACGTGTGAAGTAGGGTACTTACGTTTACCAATACCACTGGGCAAAATATTGCCCAATAGATGGTTGGTTGACTATTGGCACAACGTTGGGCAAAGCGTTTAAAAAATATTGCCCAACCTTTTCACAGTGCATATGAAATGCATAGTTGCTGCTTAATATGTGCTGCTGTTGTTCTGATGAAATATATTTCACTACATGCTGATGAGTTTATTTTAATTTTTTAAGCAGATCATGACCAATATAAACAGACTAAATACAAACACTTTCTTTCCGTTGCTCTACGCCTATAAAATAAACTCCCTGCATTTCTAAGTTGGAATGGGTGAACAAACACACATCTGAAATCCGACTTCTACAATTTATTATTGTTATTTTGCTGATTGAGTTAGGAACAGTGCCGTGTGTCCTCTGAAAATGTGTTATGAAATCCACTTATTATTATCATTATAATAATCATTATATTTATGATTATAACAATGATAATTATTATTATATTACATATATATTTGCATCGTATTACATCATAATTTGTTTCTATAATCTTAGTGGCATTAACGGAATGAAAATGAAGAAGTGTTTCGGAAAAACTCACTCAGTCGTGAAGCTTCTCCTCATTCTTTGGATGACTTTCCTCATCCAAATTGCAGTTGGGGGTAAGTAACATTGAATAAAAGTATACCGGTCAAGAATATAGATGTTCATTTTCCATTATCGACTTAGTATTCCAAGTACACATACATTAGATGTGAACAATTAAATGTTTCATTATTGAAATAAAACGGGAGCAGTTTAAAGATTGTCTACCAAAAAAGGCTTGTAAATTTTGTGAAAGCAGTTTACGTTCTTTTGATTATATGTTTGATCTACAGTAAGGAAACGAAACAAAATTAATGTTGAACGCACAATGTACTAATAAATACATTGAATTGAGTTGTTTAGAGCATAAATGAAGCATTCTAAATATCTTTAACTTATCATGTTCTGCTATTGAATTTGTTGTGGTGAGAACACTGCAGACTATGTATGAGAGCTTCTGTAACTGTAACATTCATAAACAAGTTAGAAACTAACATGCAAAGCACTAACAAGAAATTCAATTGTTTCCAAATAATGTAATATAGTTTGGTTTTCATTGGGGGTATGATAATCTCACTACTTTTGCACACAACATTTTTCAAAATATAAGACATATAGTCAAAGCAGTATGATGGAGTGACAACAGTTTACGGATATTTAACAAAAAATTGTATTAGGAACTGTGTTTCTTAATAGGTAATTTCTCATATTTTACACAAATTCATTTAGTTCAATTATTACCAAATAAAATGCATTGATTTTTCCCTCAGGAACAACACCAGGAACGGCAATAGTTACAACACCGGGAATATCCTTCAATTCACCACCTCAAACAACACCAGGAACTGCAACAGCTACAACACCGGGTACAATGCCTGCTTCTAAACCGGATACAACGCCAGCTACTACACCTGGACCAACATCAGCTACAACACCTGGAACAACACCAGATACAACACCGGGAAAAACATTCGGTTCAACACCTCAAACACCACCTCAAACAACACCGGGAACTTCATCGGCTACAGCACCGGGTACATCGCCAGCTTCCACACCTGGAACAACATCAGCTTCAGCACCTGAAACAACATCAGATACAACAGGGGGAACAACATTCGGTTCAACACCTCAAACACCTCCTCAAACAACATCGGGAACTTCAACAGCTACAGCACCGGGTACATCGCCAGCTTCTAAACCTGGAACAACATCAGCTACAACACCTGGAACATCACCAGGTACAAAACCGGAAACAACATTCGGTACGACACCTCAAACAACACCTGGAACAACATCAGCTACAACACTTGGAACAACATCAGATACAAATCTGGGAATAACATTCGGTTCAACACCTCAAAGACCACCTCAAACAACACCAGGTACTTCAACAGCTACAGCACCGGGTACAACGCCAGCTTCTACACCAGGAACAACATCAGCTACAACACCTGGAACAACACCAGGTACAAATCTGGGAACAACATACGGTTCAACACCTCAAAGACCACCTCAAACAACACCAGGAACTTCAACAGCTACAGCACCGGGTACAACGCCAGCTTCTACACCTGAAACAACATCAGCTACAACACCTGGAACAACACCAGGTACAAAACCGGGAACAACATTCGGTACAACACATCAAACAACACCGGGAACTTCAACAGCTATAACACAGGGTACAACGCCAGCTTCTACACCAGGAACAACATCAGCTACAACACCTGGAACAAGACCAGGTACAAATCTGGGAACAACATACGGTTCAACACCTCAAAGACCACCTCAAACAACACCAGGAACTTCAACAGCTACAGCACCGGGTACAACGCCAGCTTCTACACCTGAAACAACATCAGCTACAACACCTGGAACAACACCAGGTACAAAACCGGGAACAACATTCGGTACAACACATCAAACAACACCGGGAACTTCAACAGCTATAACACAGGGTACAACGCCCGCTTCTACACCTGGAACAACATCAGCTACAACTCCTGGAACCACACCAGGTACAAAACCGGTAACAACATTCGGTACAACACCTCAAACAACACCGGGAACTTCAACAGCTACAACACCAGATACAACACCGGGAACAACATTCGGTACAACATCTCAAACACCACCTCAAACAACACCGGGAACTTCAACAGCTACAACACCGGGTACAACATTTGGTACAACATCTCAAACACCACCTCAAACAAGACCTGGAACAACACCAGGTACAAAACCGGGAACAACATTCGGTACAACACATCAAACAACACCGGGAACTTCAACAGCTACAACACCGGGTACAACGCCAGCTTCTACACCTGGAACAACATCAGCTACAACTCCTAGAACCACCCCAGGTACAACACCTGGAACAACATCAGCTACAACTCCTGGAACAACATCAAGTACAAAACAGGGAACAACATTCGGTACAACATCTCAAACACCACCGGGAACAACCCCAGGTACAGCACCGGAAACAACTCCAGGTACAACGCTGGGTAAAAAACCAGCTACAACCTATCATCAATATAAATATTTAAGAAAATCTAAAGCACCACTTCGAATTTTTGATATTATAACCATATTTTGGTATTGTACAGAGCGCCTTGAACAGTCTTTTAGAATGGATACGTGCGCTTGATAACTTGACATTTTTATTATTATATGGGCACAAGGTGTACACCGAATGTACTCGTAGAGCTAGATTAATATTTGGTGCATGGATATGATATTATTAATTTACAGTACGTTAGTTTCAGTGTGAGAGAGTAGGTATATGTATCAAGTAGCTCTTTATTGATAGAATATTGTTAATGCTGTAAAAGAATTTTAATTGTTTAAAATAATAGAAAGGGTGTAAAAAAAAACTTAAAATTACCATGACAAAAAGTTAGTGAAGTAATGAGTAAATAATGCCATTCATCATTCACTTTATGGTCTTAGATTTCTTTCATTGTTCGGGATCGAACATGAAAGTGTCAATGACGTTGGTTTGCGATGGATATTACGACTGTGACAATTATGAGGATGAATCGTTGTGTCGTAAGTATTGGAATAGCTCCTTAGTTTTTATACTGACATTATGTTTGACTACATCACATTGTTCTGACGCGTTTACGTTCCACTGCCTACTACCAAATACATGATATAGAATACATCTTACGCAAATTTGAAGAAATCCCAATTAGCATACTCCCTAGTTAGTTCCACTTACACCAGGAATCTGTTTCATCAATCTTGTTATTAATAACTAACTCTAAAATTCTATACAAAAATTGCTCTCAGCCAATCAAATGCAACGATTTTAGTAGCCTTTAAAAGTTTTATAAACGTTGCATGAAACAGATCCAAGATATACGAACAATATAAAGTATTGTTGGAATAAGGATGCGGAAAAAAGGCCATATTTTTCGCATTCTCTAACATTCTTCTCCACTGTTTTAAGAAATTGTGAAATTCATTGGTGTCTTGAATTTTAACAGTGAAACTTCTTCATCCTTTTGAAAACAGACTTGTTTTGTCTGTCTCGTGGAGTTCTCTTGGATATTTTAGTCACTGGGGTTGCATATGAATTATGTGCTCTCGGCCTATCAGGGGGTCCAATTTTGTTCCATCGACTTCAAGTTTTCACAACGTGATAGAAGACAAAGACTGATCCTGATGAGTCACCCATTTCACTCATACGATTTTAACCCTCAAAGTGTCATCACATTAATTGATAACAAGTGTGGCAGGCTGACTGTAGCTGTGAGGTTGACCCCCCTCATCCGACTCAAGAGACCCCATGAAGTCGGGTTCAATTTTGTCAATATGAAGTCGTATATCTGCATATGAGGATAGGCCAGTCTTTATGTTTTGAAATGAAAAGAGATTTTTCCTATACAAATTATATCCATATTATTTAAAGGAAAATGCTCTGTTTAAGGGGCGTCGGATATCGAGCGATCCCTGTTCAAATTTGGTCGCTTTTCCGATTTTATATGTCCAGTTATTATTTCTACGAGTAAAATTTCGTGCATGATGAAGATGGATTGAAACCGACATGACTTTAGGTTCTGTTCTGGGAACTCTGAAAGATACAATTATGTCTACAAATCTTTGGGGAATGATCTTTCCTCTAACTAAACAAAGAGGGTCAAACGATATGGATAATATAGGTCTTTATCGGGAGAGGCACCCAGATAAGCTGTCAGTGCACGATGATCGAAGCTTATCTACCAATCTCTAGTTGTAGAACTGATAAGAATCCTCTATCGGTGACTTTTTATTAAATTAATTTGTTCATACTTCGTTTATTTTTGTCTTATTTCCCCTTACAGATTCAGCAACATATATTGAGGAAGAGGAATCACATTTCATATCCTTCCCATACACGAGCACACCACGATTGTATAAAGCGAGCATTCTACAAACAAACGCTACGAATGGATTTCGAATTGTGTTCCGAGATTTGTATCTCTATTATGGTCTTCAAATCCAAATAGGAACAGGAAACGATCCGTCTGACACACAGTCAAGCATCACAACTATTCATGGACACATAAACTACGAGCCTGATGATGTCTATGTAGATACCAATGAAATGTGGTTTGCTGTCATAGGAGCAAATGGTTACTCCGGGCTCCGAATGGACGTTGAGATCATTTCCATTGACCTATCAAGTGAGTGTTGAAATAATTTTCTTTTAAGATATCAGTGGAATCTAAAGTTCTGTCTATTGAAGCAGTGATAACTGGTGTCTCACTAGTTATAAAATGAGAATTATTCAACACCGGTCGACTGATGAAGATAATTTATGTTTCAAGTTTTACCAGAAATAATAATATAAAAAAGGTGAATTTTTAACGCGCCTAATTACTAAAAGTATTCAAAGAAAATCTAGTGTATTCAATTTTTAAATTTTAAAGCCAATTTAGCTACTCATAACTAATTTTTTTCTCCATCTTTTATTTTCTACCAGCCTCATTTGCCTGTTCAATCTCCAACATGAACGTGTCACCGACTGCCCTCTGCGATGGAATTTACCAATGCAATCATTTCGAGGATGAATTAGCATGCAGTAAGTCAATACAAAATTATATTTAGTAATGCGTTCTTTCCCAATATTACAGGTATTTACTGTACTTCATAATTTTCTAGCATATGTTAATTCTTAGATACTATGACAAATTTGCTCTCAGCCAAATAAATGTCAAGATTTCAGTAGCTTATTACAGTTATCATAACTTGTTATTGATCGTTTGAATATGGGTGCGGAAATATGAAGACTTAAAACTCCCATTCTTTTACGTTCTTTTCCACTTTTTTATGAATTTCATCATTCCATTAGTGTATTGCAGTTTTACGATGAAGACGGTCTTGAATAAAGACTTGTTTTGTCTGTCTTATTGAATTTTAATGGATAATTTAGTCACTGGGATTATGGCTTGTGTGCTCTCGGCCAATTAGGGGTCCTATTTTGTTTCATCGACTTTGCACAACTTGGTAGAAGCCAAAGACTGGTCCTTAATAGTAACCCATTTAATACCATACGATTTCGACCCTCAAAGTATCATCAAATTCATTGATAAAAAGTGTGGCAGGCAGAGTGTAGCTGTCGAGTTAATCCCCGTAAATTGCCTCGACTGACCACATGAAGTTTTGTCCAAGCACCAGATATCATCATTTGGAAAACATATATGTCTGCATATTAGGACAGGCCGGTCTTTATATTTTGTAATGAATAGGGAATTTTCCTATTCAAATTGTTTCCATATGATTTAAAGGAGAAATTGCTCCCATGTTATAAAGTTGCGTCTGATATCAACCGATCCCTGTTCATATTTTGCAGATTTTCGGGTTTTAATGTCATGTCATAATTTCTACTAGAGAAATTGTTCGCACGTGGTGATGGGTTGAAACCTACTTGATTTTGGGCTCTGATTTGGAAACTCTGATAGATACGGTTAGGTCTATACATTTTGGGAGAATGTACTCAAACCGTATGTAAAATACAAGTTCTTTTCAGGAGAGGCTGCCAGATTAGCTGTCGATACAATATGATGAAACTTATCTCTCAATCTCTTGTTGAAGAACTGACAAGAAACATCGACAGTTGACTTTTTTCCTTTATTTTTCCCCCTTTACAGATTATTCAGCAACTTATCTCCAAAAAGGCGAATCACATTTCATCTTCTTACCACACACCAGCACAACACGATTCTATAATGCAATCTTGCTAAAAACAAACGCTACGAATGGATTTCGAGTTGTGTTCCGAGATTTGTATCTCCAGGGTTATTTTAATGAAGTCCAAATAGGGACAGGTAACGATCCGTCTGGCATACAAACTGGCATCACAACTATTCATGGACACATAAACTACTGGCTTGATGATGTCTATGTAGATACCAATACGATGTGGTTAGCTGTCATAGGAGCCAATGGTTACTCCGGGCTCCGAATGGACGTTGAGATCATTTCCATTGACCTATCAAGTGAGTGTGGAATCAATTTTCTTTTAAGATATCAGTGGAATCTAAAGTTATGTCTATTGAAGCAGTGATAACTGGTGTTTTACTGGTTATTAAATGAGAATTATTCAATACCTGTCGACTGATGAAGATAATCCATGATTTAATTTTTACCACAAATAATAGTATGAAGAAGGTGAATTCTGACGCGCCTAATTACTAAAAGTATTCAAAGAAACATAGTATATTCAATTGTAACATTTCTGAGCATTATGAGCTAATCATAAGTTATTTTTCTCTCCATCTTCTATCTTCTACCAGCCTTATTTGCCTGTTCAAGCTCTAACATGAGCGTGTCACCGACTGTCCTTTGCGATGGAGTTTACCACTGCGATCATTACGAGGATGAATTAGCGTGCAGTAAGTCAATAACAAATAATATTTAGTAATGCGTTCTTTATAAATATTATAGGTTTTTTGTATTGTAATTCATTATTTTCTAGCATATGTTAATTCTTAGATACTATGACATTTTGCTCTCAGCCAATCAAATGTCAAGATTTAAGTATAGCTTATTACATTTATTATAACTTGTTATTAATAACTAGTTTCATGAAACAGGGCCCAGGTACACAAACATGGTGTTGGAATACGGGAGCGGAAATCTAAAGACTTGAAACTCTCGTTCTCTCAAATTCTTTTAACCACTTTCTTATGAATATCATAATTACATTAGTGTATTGCAGTTCTACGATGGAGAAAGTTTTAAAGACAGACTTGTTTTGTCTGTCTCATTGAATTTTAATGGATAATTTAGTCACTGGGGTTATGGCTTTTGTGCTCTCGGCCTAATAGGGTGTCCAATTTTGATCCATCGACTTTTCACAACTTTGTAGAAGCCAAGATTGGTCCTAAATAGTTACCCATTTAATACCATACGATTTCGACCCTCAAAGTACCATCAAATTCATTGATAAAAAGTGTGGCAGGCAGAGTGTAGCTGTCGAGTTAATCCCCGTAAATTGCCTCAACAGACCACATGGAGTTTTCTCCAAGCACCAGATATCATCATTTAGAAAACATGTATGTCTGCATATTAGGACAGGCCGGTCTCTATATTTTGTAATGAAAAGGGAATTTTCCTATACAAATTGTGTCCATATGAGCTGGTGGACTACATTTAATTTAACCACCTTATGGAAGTCATGCAGTCGGCTTATAAGATCGGGAATAGTGTCGAAAGTGCTCTTATGAAAGTTTCAAACGAAATTTCTCACTGCTATTTACAAGCACCAAATGGTTCTGCTTGTCATGTTGGACTTATCCGCTGCGTTCGACACCATTGATCATCATGTCTTACTTCTAAGACTATCCGGAAGGCTTGGTTTAAAAGGTTCAACTTTGCGTTGGATTGAATCTTACCTTTCTGGCCGATCTCAGGTGGTGCGTATTGGTGACAATATATCTGAACCTTGTCCTCTCAAGTGTAGGGTGCCTCAGGGTTCGGTCTTAGGCCCGGTACTCTTTACTATCTACATATTACTACTTGGAGACATCACTCGTTACCATCAGGTTCAGTTTCATTTCTACGCTGATGACACCCAACTCTATCTCACATTTCGTCCAGGGGATGCTTCGGCTACCTTCGATCAGATGGAATCATGTATGAGTGACATACAAGCATGGTTGAGTTCTAATTTCCTTAAACTGAACCCAGAAAAGACTGAAATGATGGTGCTTGGATCTCGTCACAATCACTCAACTTTTCAACCTCGAAATCTGAACATTGATGGTCATGCTACCTCTTCATCAACTTCAGCTAGGAATTTGGGAGTCGTCTTTGACCATCTGTTCAATATGGAAAAGCATGTTTCATCCATTTGCAGAAGTGCAAATTTCCACCTTCGGAATGTCAGGAGAATCCGTAAATACATGTCGAAGCAGACTACAGAACAGATCATCCATGCCTTGGTAACTTCCAGATTGGACTGCTGTAACGCCCTCCTGGTAGGTGTCCCTTCCTCAGCCATTTCTCGTTTGCAGCGAGTACACAACAACGCAGCCCATGTTCTTACTAATTAGGCAGGGAAGTATGCGCGAAAAAGTCATTTCCTTCGTCAATTGCACTGGCTACCGGTAAAGAAGAAGAGAATCGTGTTCAAGATTTGTCTGACTACCTTCAAGTTTCTGCATGGTCAGGCCCCCCAGTACCTCTCTGAGATGGTATTAGTAACGCAGTCAGTGAGGTCAGAGGTCTTCAGCGGCTACGAGACTAGTCGTGTCAATGACTATAACGGTTACGTATGAAGACAGGTCCTTCGCCAAAGCTGCACCCGTCCTCTGGAACTCTCTTCCTTCTCATCTTAGACAATTAGAATCCACAGAACAATTTAAATCACAGTTGAAAGCGTATTTATTTATCTGATGTTTAAGTTTCATGACTTAAAGAACTATATGTGAACTGTATTATCTGTTTGTCCAATACTTGAATTTCTGTTTATATCAGATTTGAATTCCTGTTTATCTAAGATTTAAGTTTAATAACGTTTAGAAATAATATCTGTTGAACTGTTTTGTGTAATCTGCTTATTCATTTTTGTCGCGCCTTGATCGGAAGTTTCGGATGCGTGCGCGTTATAAACTTATATTATTATTATTATGATTTAAAGGAAAAATGCTCTCATTTGTTAAAGGGGCATCTGACTCTATCAACCGATCCCTGTTCAAAGTTTGTAGATTGACGTGTTTATAATGTCATGTCATAATTTCTACTAGCCAAATTTTTCGCAAGTGGTAGATGGGTTGAAACCTACCCGACATTGGGATCTGTTTTGGGAACTCTGATATATACGGTTAGGTCTATACATTTTATTTATTTTTTTTTTTTTTGGGGGGGGGGGGGAAATGTCCTTTCCTCTAGGTAAATAAGGGGGTTAAGCAGTTTTGCTTATATACACATTTTTTTCGGGAGAGGCTGCCAGATTAGATATCGATGCGAGATGATGAAGCTTATCTACCAATCTCTGTTGAAGAAATATATATATATATATATATTTTTTTTTTTTTTACCGTTCAGGTTATTCAGCAACTTATCTCCAAAGAGGCGAATCATATTTCATCTCCTTACCACACACCAGCACAACACGATTCTATAATGCAATCTTGCTCAAAACAAACACTACGAATGGATTTCGAGTTGTGTTCCGAGATTTGTATCTTTCTGATGGTGCTAAAGTCCAAATAGGGACAGGTAACGAACCATCTGACATACAGTCTGGTATCACAACTATCCATGGAAACATAAACTACGAGCACGATGATGTTTATGTAGATACCAATGAGATGTGGTTTGCTGTCATAGGAGCAAATGGTTACTCCGGGCTCCGAATGGTCGTTGAAATCATTTCAATTGACCTATCATGTGAGTTTTATATCATTTTTCTTTTAAAATATTGGTGAAATCTAAAGCTCTGTCTATTGAAGCGATGATAACTGTTGTCTCACTAGTTATAAAATGAGAATTATTCAACACCTGTCGACTGATGAGAATAATCCATGTTTTCAGTTTTACCAGAATAATAGTATAAAGAAGGTAAAGTTTTAATGAGCCTAATAAAAAAAATTATTCAAAGAAACATAGTATATTCAAATGTAAAATTTCAAAGCATTATGAGCTACTCATAAGTTATTTTTCTCTCCATCTTCTACCTTCTACCAGCCTTATATGCCTGTTCAAGCTCTAACATGAGCGTGTCACCGACTGTCCTTTGCGATGGACTTTACCACTGCGATCATTACGAGGATGAATTAGCATGCAGTAAGTCAATAACAAATAATATTTAGTAATGCGTTCTTTATAAATATTATAGGTTTTTTGTATTGTACTTCATTATTTTCTAGCATATGTTAATTCTTAGATACTATGAAATTTTGCTCTCAGCCAATCAAATGTCAAGATTTTAGTAGCTTATTACAGTTATCATAACTTGTTATTATTAACTAGTTCATGAAACAGGGCCCAGGTACACAAACATGGTGTTGGAATACGGGAGCGGAAATCTAAAGACTTGAAACTCTCGTTCTCTCAAATTCTTTTTACCACTTTCTTATGAATATCATAATTACATTAGTGTATTGCAGTTCTACGATGGAGAAAGTTTTAAAGACAGACTTGTTTTGTCTGTCTCATTGAATTTTAATGGATAATTTATTCCTGGGGTTATGGCTTTTGTGCTCTCGGCCTATTAGGGTGTCCAATTTTGATCCATCGAATTTTCACAACTTTGTAGAAGCCAAAAACTGGTCCTAAATAGTAACCCATTTAATACCATACGATTTCGACCCTCAAAGTACCATCAAATTCATTGATAAAAAGTGTGGCAGGCAGAGTGTAGCTGTCGAGTTAATCCCCGTAAATTGCCTCGACTGACCACATGAAGTTTTGTCCAAGCACCAGATATCATCATTTAGAAAACATATATGTCTGCATATTAGGACAGGCCGGTCTCTATATTTTGTAATGAAAAGGTAATTTTCCTTTACAAATCGTGTCCATATGATTTAAAGGAAAAAATGCTCTCATTTGTTAAAGGGGCATCTGACTCTATCAACCGATCCCTGTTCAAAGTTGGTAGATTTTCGTGTTTATAATGTCATGTCATAATTTCTACTAGCCAAATTTTTCGCAAGTGGTAGATGGGTTGAAAACGACCCGACATTGGTATCTGTTTTGGGAGCTCTGATATATACGGTTAGGTCTATACAATTTTGGGGGAATGTCCTTTCCTCTAGTTAAATAACGGGGTTGAGCAGTTTTGCTTATACACATTTTTTTCGGGAGAGGCTGCCATATTAGATATCGATGCAAGATGATGAAGCTTATCTACCAATCTCTTGTTGAAGAATTGACAAGAACCATCGACACGTGACTTTTTTTTCCTTTTTTTTTTTTTTTTTTACCTTTCAGATTATTCAGCAACTTATCTCCAAGAAGGCGAATCACATTTCCTCTCCTTACCACACACCAGCACAACACGATTCTATAATGCAATCTTGCTACAAACAAACGCTACGAATGGGTTTCGAGTTGTGTTCCGAGATTTGTATCTCTATTATGGTGCTAAAGTCCAAATAGGGACAGGTAACGATCCGTCTGACACACAGTCTGGCATCACAACTATCGATGAAAACATAAACTACGGGCCTGATGATGTCTATGCAGATACAAATGAGATGTGGTTAGCTGTCATAGGAGCCAATGGTTACTCCGGGCTCCGAATGGTCGTTGAAATAATTTCCATTGACCTATCAAGTGAGTTTTAAATTAATTTTCTTTTGAAATATCGGTAGAATCTAAAGTTATGTCTATTGAGGCAGTGATAACTGGTGTTTTACTGGTTATAAAATGAGAATTATTCAATACCTGTCGACTGATGAAGATCATCCATGATTTAATTTTTACCACAAATAATAGTATGAAGAAGGTGAATTCTGACGCGCCTAATTACTGAAAGTATTTAAAGAAACATAGTATATTCAATTGTTACATTTCAGAGCATTATGAGCTAATCATAAGTTATTTTTCTCTCCATCTTCTATCTTCTACCAGCCTTATTTGCCTGTTCAAGCTCTAACATGAGCGTGTCACCGACTGTCCTTTGCGATGGAGTTTACCACTGCGATCATTACGAGGATGAATTAGCGTGCAGTAAGTCAATAACAAATGATATTTAGTAATGCGTTCTTTATAAATTTCACAGGTTTTTGTTATTGTACTTCATTATTTTCTAGCATATGTTAATTCTTAGATACTATGAAATTTTGCTCTCAGCCAATCAAATGTCAAGATTTTAGTAGCTTATTACAGTTATCATAACTTGTTATTAATAACTAGTTCATGAAACAGGGCCCAGGTACACAAACATGGTGTTGGAATACGGGAGCGGAAATCTAAAGACTTGAAACTCTCGTTCTCTCAAATTCTTTTTACCACTTTCTTATGAATATCATAATTACATTAGTGTATTGCAGTTCTACGATGGAGAAAGTTTTAAAGACAGACTTGTTTTGTCTGTCTCATTGAATTTTAATGGATAATTTATTCCTGGGGTTATGGCTTTTGTGCTCTCGGCCTATTAGGGTGTCCAATTTTGATCCATCAACTTTTCACAACTTTGTAGAAGCCAAGATTGGTCCTAAATAGTAACCCATTTAATACCATACGATTTCGACCCTCAAAGTACCATCTAATTCATTGATAAAAAGTGTGGCAGGCAGAGTGTAGCTGTCGAGTTAATCCCCGTAAATTGCCTCGACTGACCACATGAAGTTTTGTCCAAGCACCAGATATCATCATTTAGAAAACATATATGTCTGCATATTAGGACAGGCCGGTCTCTATATTTTGTAATGAAAAGGTAATTTTCCTTTACAAATCGTGTCCATATGATTTAAAGGAAAAATGCTCTCATTTGTTAAAGGGGCATCTGACTCTATCAACCAATCCCTGTTCAAAGTTGGTAGATTTTCGTGTTCATAATGTCATGTCATAATTTCTACTAGCCAAATTTCTCGCAAGTGGTAGATGGGTTGAAAACGACCCGACATTGGTATCTGTTTTGGGAACTCTGATATATACGGTTAGGTCTATACAATTTTGGGGGAATGTCCTTTCCTCTAGGTAAATAACGGGGTTGAGCAGTTTTGCTTATACACATTTTTTTCGGGAGAGGCTGCCATATTAGATATCGATGCAAGATGATGAAGCTTATCTACCAGTCTCTTGTTGAAGAATTGACAAGAACCATCGACAGGTGACTTTTTTTTCCATTTTTTTTCTTTTTTTTTACCTTTCAGATTATTCAGCAACTTATCTCCAAGAAGGCGAATCACATTTCATCTCCTTACCACACACCAGCACAACACGATTCTATTATGCAATCTTGCTAAAAACAAACGCTACGAATGGGTTTCGAGTTGTGTTCCGAGATTTGTATCTCTATTATGGTGCTAAAGTCCAAATAGGGACAGGTAACGATCCGTCTGACACACAGTCTGGCATCACAACTATCGATGAAAACATATACTACAGGCATGATGATGTCTATGCAGATACAAATGAGATGTGGTTAGCTGTCATAGGAGCCAAAGGTTACTCCAGGCTCCGAATGGTCGTTGAAATAATTTCCATTGACCTATCAAGTGAGTTTAAAATTAATTTTCTTTTGAGATATCGGTAGAATCTAAAGTTATGTCTATTGAGGCAGTGATAACTGGTGTTTTACTGGTTATAAAATGAGAATTATTCA